ATTAAGCAAATTCGTACTGGTCGTTATTACCGCAGCTGTGGCGGTACTCACAAATTACATTTAATAGTTTTCAGATGATATCGAAAATGAAGTAGAACCAGATGAAATGTTGCATTTACGATCTGCTGATAATCATTCTCTGTGGAATGATACTGTACGAGTTTGGAACGAGGTATGCTTCTTTCTTCGCTAGTTTGTTAGCGGTGGGAGCATCTTCCCCACAGCGCGCCATTAAATTAGGCAGTAAGTACAACATTATACAAAAAATAATGGAAATGAGAATGGATGGAAATAATCATACAATGGCAGTAAATTATTAGCCTAAGGCAACTTAACGCTATTCTACAAGTAAACAGTTGGCAATGGTAAATTTAACATATTAAGGAAACTTTAGTATGTGTAGAAATCAGTTATTTAGCCAAAATTAAAACATTTCGGTCCATTAAACTGTGTATGTCTTAAATCAGCAGCACAATTGGGACTTATCAAAGGCTTGTTGCGCTAATTATTATTATGTAATAAATTTTGTTGAAAGTTAGAAACTAAACGTGTGGGAAGCTAATAGTGCTAATATATCAACCAAATGTGTCGATATGATTGTATCTCTGCATTTCATCCTCCACATGCACAGGCGACCTTTTATTCTTTAAAACTTTGCTAGCAAAAATCTGGTTTGTAGTTTTATTCAGACACCCATGAAAGGGTAAGGCAAAAATCTGCCAGTGATAGCACAGAAAATTTGAACATGCTCACGATTTTGATCAGCGCACCTTCACTTTTTTAAGCATTTCATTGTTTCTTTAAGCTATTTGATAAATAAAGCCATATTTTGTTCATATAAAAAATTACTAAAATCACTGTCACTTCGCTGCTAACTGGTTTTTGTGCGATGTCGAATTGCATTAAAAGTAGACACATTCCAGACAAAACGAGAGTGCTTTGCTGGTTTTCTTGTATTTTTCGGCACGTTGGCGGCTTTCCCGGCGTTATCATCACTGGTCGAAACAACAGCGGAAAATGTTATTTGGAGAAGTGAGTGTCTTTGAATTTTTTTAATGTAATGATGAGAAAATAAGTCTGCTAAACAAGCTGTAACATTTACGCTTGTACTGCTTGCTTTATGGTAAGTTTGGTGTAGCAGTTGAGTCTCGGCGTTATTTTCCAGAGAAGAATATGGCAGGTTGCAGTGCCACTCAGAAATCCGAAAATTATTAGTGGAAAGTATTTCATTTGTCTTCAAAATGCCTTTTGTAGACTTACGCAGGTATTATTTGTAGGTGAAGAAGGTAGATTAGATCAAGGGTGCCTTCTGATGATTATCAACTTCTAATTTGAAAAAAAAAAAATGTTTTAGATTATTTCACATCAGTTGCTTGCTTCTTGCTGTTCAACTGTGGCGACGCGTTGGGTCGTTTGCTTGTGAATTTCGCTATCCCAGTAAGTTGTTAAATAGCGCTTATGGCATGAAATACGTTTTGATTTAAAACTTCTGGTATTTTTCAAGTAATCAACAGATTACAACGAATCAATAGGTCAAGTGGAACACAATTCATTCGTAGGTTGATAATGGACAAACACTCTAATAACAAAATTGACAAGAATTGCGACATATGTTACATAAACGAATGTGACTGATGAGGGGGAGAGGTATTCTGGGAGAGGACAAGATCTGTTTTAATAAATAGGAGAAGATGCAGGTAAGAAATTATATTGTTTTTACGAGGCAGTTACTAAAAATCGCCTTGCTCCGGTCAAATATGTACTTGTTTTTGGGTCCGGATTTGAGTTGCGAGGGTCTCTTGTCTAGGTGATTTTCTGGATGTTTTGTCTAAGCTTACTAACTTCCTCTCAGCATCGAAATTCTTGCTGGATTTAAAATCGACATAGCTCCTCAATAAACCTTGCCCATGTTTCCAGTTCATTTCCAGTCAGTAACCCTCATTCCTTTCATCCGTTACGGCCTCCGACACTAGAACAACCACTCCCGGCTTTTTCTTCTCGTCCCTCGCCTCTGTCTTTCAATCTTCATCTCCCAGTCGTTGCAACTTGCCTTCCATCCTAGCCAAGTCTAGCCGAGTTTTGGTAGCTGCCTCCTTGAAGTGGGAGTCGTGTATCAGCAGGCAACACTGCGACATAAAAAGTTTACTCTGGTAACTGTCAGCGACATATTAGTTTGCATATGTATTGAATTTAGCAAGTCACAGCTGGAGGTGAGTAGCCCATGGTAAGCCATGTCTAAGTTTTATCTTAAAATACTTTTCCGTTTCTTTACAGCATTATGATCATTACTGACACACTGGTCACATTTAATCCAGCTGTGATCGTTAGAAGAAATTTGTGAGCAGGATGATGTAGTCTTGCGAATTCCAGTCGCTTACTGCAAAATGAACTAATATTTCAGGGTGAGAAAAGCCTGTTGACTTTATCGTTGCTGCGATTGCTGCTCATCCCCATATTTTTCTTTTGCAACATAAATCCTCGTTATCATTCGGCGACATTCTTCCACAGCGATAAAGCATTCATCGCCACAATGATTTTATTCTCCATTTCAAATGGTTTCCTTTTCACGGCAACGACCATCAGTGCTACGCGGTAAGAAACTCGCTTTTTGCTTACAAGCTAACTAACAATATGTAATATTATTTGTAGCAGCTCTCTCTCTCTCTCTCTCTCTATGCCTCTGTGCAGTAGTAGTGTATGAACACTAAAAAAAGAAGAATTGATGCTCTGCTCATTTTGTCGTAATTTTTTCCATTTCTGTGGCTTTAATATACAGTTTTCTATGCGTTTTTGCACATTTATGAAAAAGTAAAAAAAAAAGTTGACGACACGTTTGTATGTGTTGATATTTATTCCAGTTTTTTTCACCTGCTTTTGTTTGGTTCAGTTTTGATCGTAAATTGTTATCGACTTGAGGTTGCAGCCTCAAGATTCCTTTAATCCTTACGACCAAATCTTCTGTTTCATTATACTATTATTAAGCATGAGTCCATCCGAAACAGCCTTTCTTCAATCTATTGGGCACGGAGAAGAGACGGGCAATTCATTCGGCTATATCGGCGTCAGTCATTGGACTAACTGCCACATGCTATGGTGTAATGAGCACTTAGAGGACCAAGGCGGATGAATACGGACTTTTTTATGAATTTTGCTGTGAAACTTATGCCAGAAGACAAAGCGAACGTTAGAAAACCACCAGATCATTCAACAATCCACGTCGCACTGACAAAAACAGCAGAAGGAACTGCCAGCTACAGAGCCTCCCGCCACTTATCCTGAAATTTTTAATAGCATAATGAGAAAACATTTAAATTAATCTCGGAGTTTCGAACATTACTTAATATACTTTTATTTGCAGTAAAGTAGCCGCTGAAGTCCGGGAGCTCACCGGAAGCTTGTTCGGTCTGATGGCTGTGATTTCGACGCTGTGCGGCT